TCAATTTACGTGTTACTTTTGTTAAAACATCTATTTGACAAAGTAAATAATACTTTTTGTCCTGATATTAAAAAAATTAACTTCTATTTAAAATGAATATTATTTCATAGCCGAATATAATTTATAATGTTGATTATATTATAACAGTATAATTATTTTTAGTAAAAGCTTACTTACCCCTGTCAGTTTTGGGGGTCTCATCCCACCGGTTTCGCCGAGAGGCGTGATGAGCCGGCGTTTCTCTTCCGGGCGTGGCATGCCCGGGAGTAGCATGTCCGGGTGTCGCATCCCACACACGAGCTGATGGTGTCGCACCGGGTGTTTCTCCCCCACGACCACCTCCGCCAGGAGTCTCTTCCCAACCACCACGCTGTGTTCCAGACACACATTATCTTTATATCAATATTAATATAGACTATAGTTATCTTACAAATCATACAATATGTCAATGTTATCTTGTCAATTTAATCAAGCATTCAATGAATATCATGTTAACTTTTTCAAATTACATTTAAATCAGATACTACATACAAGCTTAAGTTCTCTTTCACATACTCCTGCAATGTATTAAAACTTATAACTACAGCTGTCTCAAAAGTAAAAAAAAAAGTTGTCCCTCATCAGCACATACAAAATAACATAATTTTGGTAAATACCTAATGTGTGTAAAGAAGATTTGACATTTCATAGTTACTTGTCTTTTGAATTGTGTATTTGTTTCCTTTGTGTTAAGATAAGAGGCCAAAAGCTTAAAAATATACTGATATCTCTTAAAGCCAAGATCTTAAAAATAAACAAACCTCATTTTCCCATGATGGTGTTGCTTGTGAACTGGGAGTGGCTGATGCAACCGTCTTCTTAACTGAAGGTGTATCTTCAGTACTTTGATCCCATCTTCCTTTACGTTTGGCTGCTGGTTTTGCAGCTTCACCATTGGCTTGTGCTACTGGTTTTAAAGTACCTTCTCGAGCTCTTTCAATAAGTTTTTTCCGCAACTAAAATATACAAAGTTATTGAAGAAAATTTACAATGTATAAGAATTTTGATTTAATTCACACTTGTCTACTACTTTACAAAAATGCAATGATGAAGCTAATATAATATCTGTGAACAGTAAAATAATATGATACTTTAATTTTATGTAATATTTATGGATCACTTACTTCTGTCTCTTCAGCTCTGAGATATTGCTCCTTCATAATTTCTGTGTAAGTCCTAGATCCAACATCAGGAGTCTTACCCCCTATAACATATACAAATGCAATATAAATGAGGGCTACAGCACAATGCACAAATTTTTAATATTCTAGATAAAATACTTTAATACCTTCAGCAAAGGGATCCACTCTCTCTGGAGAAATGATCATCCTTCTCCTTTTCTGGCGATATTCATCTTCCCTATCAGCAATTGTTGGTCGTCTTTTTTCAGCAAATGGATCATAATCTTTGTCACTCTGTAAAATTATATATAAAATTAAATATAAATAATACCATATCTAAAGTCCGGGAAAAAGGATGGTCACTTGAAACAACAAAAGGGACTGTACCTACTCGAAAGTGATGCATAGGCCAACAAAAGAAAAGATGGGTTACACTGGGGTTAAATCTCCATTAGAGTGAGTTTCCAGCTGTCATTTCTCTGTAGCCACACATGAAAAGCTGACAGCAGCTTAGCACAGATGACATTATAGAACTCGCAGGGAAAAAATAGATGAATGTTACTCAAGATGAAGAAACTCAAAACTCAAAATGTCTTTATTCATGTAGGTAAACAATTACACTCATGAATTGTCAAGTTAAATTAATTGTAAATTTACATTTACTACCAGTTCGCAAGTTAAGGGCGTAGAGCGGGTAAGAAGAGAAAGCAATAAATTTGGAAGAGGCTTTTTCACCCTAAAATGGGCCGTACAAATACTAGAACACTAACAAAACAAACATTAATTTAAGAACTTATATTAACACAACTAACACATATACTAAGAAATGTAAACTGATAATTATTGTATAGAGTTATTATTATAAAGCTTTAACAATAAAAATAATACCATCCAAATTAATATGGTTGTAGAGATACAATAAAAAAACCACTTTTAAATTAACCAAATTAATTAAAAAAAATTAATTAAACTAATTTTTAGAAATTATAAATTAAAACAGCAAGTTGACAACATACCAAATGAAACTTTATAAATTTCAGGGGGCTTCTAACCAGCAAATTGTCTACATGTTATTGTTACATGATCTATCAATAGTTATTTTTTTAATTAAGATATACTGTGCAAAACCTTTGCAATTGCTATAAATATGCCATATGTAACATACATCTATAGAACAGCAAGTGTAATTAGCCTACCCTTACCTGTGCAATATCATTTAGTAATGAGGCAGGAGCTGTGTATCCTGGTCTCTTTTGACTTATAGGAACATTTTCAACATCCTCATCTTCATTTTCATCATTAGCAGCAATTGATGTTACATAGCCATCATACCTGGATTTTCCTGTCTGACCAGAGCTATCATAAATATCACTGTCATAGTATGTGTCTGCTAAAGATACACCTTTGCCAGAACCATTTTCAGGTAATTCATTTTTCTTTGCTTGAATTTCTTTTATTTGAGCCTCAATAGCTGAAAATAAACAAAACACAAGAAGTATAAAATAAATATTCAATATAAATATTTAAGTCTCTAGTATTTTTATGTAAGAAAAGGATAAGACGAACAAAAAACTTATATAAATTTAAATAATTAAAATTTCCTTTTTTCTATAAACAATGTACTTACCGTACATTTGTCTATTATTAATATTACACAAATATATTATATAGATAAACTATTTTAAGTCTACTAATTTAATTCTATTATATTTTACCAAAAAAACTTTTGGTAAAATATAATAGAATTATAATAGGTTATATTTAATACCAATATTAAAAATGGCTGGCAGGAGTGGGTGAGGCCAATAACAATAGAAAAAGGTTACCTTCATGAGTTCTCGGTATTTTATCCATTATGATCTTCTACATTCATCTATGCGTTTAAATTATTTTCTATATTCACAATACAAGTCTTACAATAAGCCGAAAATCTTAATCGCAATTAATTAGACATAGTAATTAGTACACGAAACAAACCATAGAGCGTATAGCTGAAGTCTAACTTGTATAGACTGTAGAGTGAGGAGCAAAACAAGCGACTAATACCACAGACTTATATACCAATTTCAAAAAGGTAAAGGGGCTGCCATATACAAAATATTTACTCAAATCAGTTTATCTTTGGATAATTGTCTATGGTCTCCGATCGCGGCACTGGGTACGTGTGTTAGTGATAAAAATATTTTAAGGTTTTTACTATTATTTAATTACAATTTTCTCATCAGGAGGAAGCAAAAACGATCCTGGCGTCTCAAGGATAAACGTTTTGGTTGATTTGCTACAGTACATTAGGTAAATATTTAACGATTTTTCCATGCACATAGGTTCCACGTCAAATGTGTTGGAAGAAGGTGACACGTATTATCACAAATTCACGATTCCGGGTGCCGATCTTGTAAGAATATTAATTATCCTAAACAATTTGTTATGCTTTTCACCTTATAGGATTACCAAAACTTTTATGTCAATTAACATGTAAACTCTATTATGTTCGCCGTAACTACTTATAAACATGCACAAATGTTTCAACTCACATGTACCTATTATTATTTCACTACGCTAAATAACCGGCATTTATGAATTGCAACTTAATTAACCCTTACTTTCCGGGAATATTAAATAAATTACTTTTAATTGTATAGCCTAATATCCAGTTAGAAAACAACTAATACATTAATTTTTATAAACTTATTGAGTTAAGCTTTCTACAGTTTTATACCTTCAATATGTATTTTCTATTACATAATATAGAATTTTTTTATACCAGCATAGAAAAACAAAGCAAACTAAACTAGATATTACATTACATATTGGTTATGTTACATTACATTCTTACAATTACTGCATACATTACGGTTATAATGTATGCAGTAATTATTTAGTTTTATATTGTTAATTAAATAACCACAAATTACATTACACCAATATTGCTGTTAATAGAACCTAGATAAAAATTATATTATGTGTAGTATAGAATATATGCCAAGAATTATTTAAATTCCTGGAGAAAGCATTCAGTTCTTGAACATTATCAATTGGTTTCCACATATTATATTTTAATATATATGTTTCTCTTAATATTCACTTAACTATAGTGATTTGAATATTAATTATGTTGTGTACTTGTAGCAACTATTTATATATTATAGGTAGGTTAATATTAAGTAGTTTAAGAATTATTATAGCTACATGTCATCCAGAACATGAATATTTATATCATAATTTTTTTGTACATAAACAATCCTGATATAGTTCGAGTTTGGTACTATTTTTTCATTTCTTAAATTGAAACTATTTAATTCATCTACAGAGTACTGTTGGCCTAATGGCTTAGGGACTCTCAATCCCGACATTTTGTTTTTAAATCACAGCTGAGCACCAGTGCATTTTTGTTTTTATATGTATTATTAACATTCACTCATACAGTGAAAGGGAAATTAATGGTGTGTGCCAGGCACCAAAAGTTGATCACCTACTTTTCTATTTAGCTACTACTTTTACTGTTTAAAATTATGAAATCTGAGACCAAGACCAATCTTTTACTACATTTAGATATAAATAATTTTTACAAGTTAATCAAATTGACCTTTAGAGATTATTTCATTGTTATCTTAAAAAGTAAATTACTTTTACTAAAGTAATTTACTTATGTCCTTGAAGATTTTATAATGTAAATTACAAAAGAAACAAATTATAATCATTTATTGAAAAATTTAACAATTGTTCAAATAAATGTGGTAGTTGGAATGCAAATAAAAGTTATACCTTTTAAAATTTTAATATTACGATTTTAGTACTGTAACGACTTGGCGCGAATAAGGACTGCTGGAGGAGACGAAAATGATGCATCAGCAATCCATGATGGTTGGAGATATGATTCCCGTACACTCTGAACTACCCGGGCATAACAATGAAAATATGAACAATGTGGCTTACGAGAACAGCGGTTCTCCAGCATATGACGACCTTTTTCCGGCTTTGCCTCACTCCCAACCCCCGGTCCAACGTAGTATTCAGCAGGTTACTAACAAACTTCGTGTTGGATCTACCCTTCATACCCAGGTAAATATTACAATAATTAATTGTCATTATTTCTTCTGTAAATTCTCTTCTTTCCCTTTTTTAACAGCATATAACACATTATTTTATTTTATAGGTATTCCATGTACCCTATGAAGAGAGGAAACTGGATAATGCCAATACTTTTGGTGAAGGCGAGTCATTGAGGACATGCCAGTCTATCACCAAAGATACTGGTGCTCACATTGAGATATCTACCAGCAAGGATGGAAGTCTTACTTTTCTCATCACAGGAAAACATAGTGCTGTGCTTGATGCTAGGCGTCTCATTTTGACGCACTTTCAGCAACAGGTATACAAATTAATTAATTCACATGAAAAAAAATGATGTCCCATCCAATTGCAAAACAATACAATACAATCTAATTTTTATCGTAATAGACACTGTTATTAATTTAAAAAATCCTTTACAGGCAAGCAAGCAAATTAACATTCCTAAAGAACATTACCGCTGGATTTTGGGCAAGCAAGGACAAAAGCTGAAGGAGTTAGAGAAATTGACAGCAACCAAGATTAATGTACCCAGTATTGCAGACAACAGTGAAATCATTACTATTACTGGTACTAAGGAGGGTATTGAGAAGGCAGAACATGAGATTCGAGTGTGCTCTGAGGAACAGGTATATATTAAAATAAAACAGTATTTTTTGATCAAATATAAATTTTAATAATATAGAATGGGTTTTAACAAAACATATTGATTTAATTTTTTTAAGCTATTCTGCAACTTTGTCACACTGATAAGCACTAATTAAATTACTGACCAAATTAAAAAGCTTCTTCATCAACATTGTTTCACGATACATGACTGTTTACAAATGTTATGAATCATCTCTGTGAATAAAATGACTTAAAGTAATATGAAATTTCAGTCACGTAAGGCATTGGAGCGCATCACCGTGCCCAAGATCTACCATCCCTTCATCCAAGGGCCATTTGGTGAGAGGTCAGCGGCACTCACTGCCGAGACCGGCGCTCGCATTCACATTCCGCCTGCCTCTACTCAAAGTGATGAGATTGTTGTAGCTGGAGAGAAGACTGGTGTACTTGCTGCTAAAGCTCAGATTGAACAGATTTATGAGGAAATGGTTAGTGCATTTTAAATTTCTTGGCGATCATGCCCCCTATTTATAAGAGAAATAGATATTCAAATTGATTTCCCAAAAACCAAACCCAGGATCAAAAAATACATGAAGTATATTAAGGTATGTCATAGGCTACAATATATCCATAAGTAATAAAAATATGTAATATTAGTTTGATTAATAAAGTTTTTTTTTTTTAATTTTTCATATTTATTTATATATATATATATATATTTTTTTAGAAGAAGAAATGTTCGACTGTACGCGTAGAAGTGCCAAAGTCCCAGCATAAATATGTCATTGGTGCTCGTGGAACGACGATTCAAGAAATTTTGAAGGAGACTGGTGTGTCCGTTGAAATGCCACCTCCAGATTCTCCCACGGGAACAATTACACTTCACGGCCCTCACAATAAGATTGGATTGGGTAAGATTTATGATAATTTTGTATAATTAGGTCACTTGTTAATTGCGATAATTGTTCTAGTTTTAAATTATTTGCTGTAAGTACATTTTTGACAATAACGTTAAGGAATATCTTTTGTATATTTTACTTTATATTCACATGTATTTTATTGCAGCTCTATCGAAAGTATGCGAAAAGGCGAATTCCGTTAAAACAGCAACAGTTGATGCACCAACCTGGATACATAAGTACATTATTGGTAAAAATGGATCGAACATTAAGAAAATCACTCAGGACTTCTCTAAGGTAAACATTATTTCTGTGGCCTTTATTGGAATTTTATCATTAACATTTATGATGTTTTAGAGTAGAGTTCCAAGTTAAGGCTAGTTATTTTGATATTAAACATTTTGGCTACCATTTCTTATCTTTGTGACGTCATTTAACGATTTAGTTTTAAATTAATTTCTCAAAAACTTAAGTGAGTGTCCAATTTAAAATTATTATTTTTAGTAGCACTTTTCTTGAAATATTCACAGAGGAAAAGAATTAGCTCCAGCTACTGAGCTTAGAATTGACCAAAAATACAACATATCTATATACTTATTTAATTGTAATTTAAGATATCAGTTGTTTAGGTAAGGTTAGGTGAGGTCGCTTATTATAATAAGTTATGGTTGATTCTCTAGGTACATGTTGACATCACTCACTCGGAAGACAAAGTAAAAATTGATGGTCCCCCGGAAGAAGTTGAACGAGCTCAAGTGGAATTAGATGCGTTTGTCAAGAATTTACTAGCGACACTTACTTATGTTGAACTCACTGTTGACCCTAAGTTCTTCAAACACATCATCGGAAAAAGCGGAGCGAACAGTAAGTTTTACGATGCTTTGAATTTATAGGTTCAGCACATTTTTCATATAATTTATTGCTGAAAAAAAAGTAAATTTGTTCTCTAATAAAATCACAGATTATCTAAAAAAATTGGAAAAACTAAGTTTCTAAGTCTTCTATTAAAATAGTGGATAATGTGGATAAAATTAATTATACACAACGTAGACGTGGGTTTCTTCTAATAATAAGATATAAAATCATATATATAGAGATAATATATAAAATCAGTTTTTGTTATAAAAGTAAAAATAAATATTAATTTAAATAAATCACATTAATTATATTTTTTAGTTTTTAAGTTGTACCAATTCCAGAGCTTTCAGAAAACTATTTTCTTTCTTACAGTTAACAGACTGAAAGATGAGACTGGTGTAGTTATTAATATTATTGAAAACGAAGGTACCAATGTGATTCGCATTGAAGGCAGTCACCACGGCGTAGCCGAAGCCGAGAGGGAGTTAAGAGAGATGGTTAATAAGCTAGAAAACGAAAGGACCAAGGAAGTTTATGTCGACCATAGGTATATCAAATCACTGATTGGCGTAAGGGGCGATAAGATTAAGGAAATTCGTGAAAAATTTGAACGCGTCCTAATAACTCTGCCAGACCAGGGACAAAAGAGGAGTCCGATCAAACTTAGAGGACCTCAGGAAGACATTGAAAAGTGTGAGAAATACTTGCATAAGCTTATGAAAGAGATTGCCGAATCGTCTTACGTACAAGAAGTGCCTATATTCAAACAGTTCCACAAATTTATCATCGGAAAGGGTGGGGCTAATCTTAGAAAAATCCGGGATGAAACTCAAACCGCTATCGACTTGCCGGCGGAAGGTGATGACAGCGATGTTATAACGGTGCGAGGAAAAAGGGAAAATGTCGAGGAAGCCGTAAAAAAGATTCAGCAGATACATAATGAGAAAGCAAATATTGTGACAGAAGAAGTGACCATTCCACCCAAGTACTATAACTCGCTTATCGGCGCGGGAGGAAAACTAATTCATTCAATTATGGAAGAATGTGGCGGTGTTCTAATCAAGTTCCCACCAGCTGAGAGTGATAGTGACAAGGTATACCTATAATTATGTTAGGTTTAGTGTATTACAAATTGAAATAGGCTTTATAGAAAGGAGACGAAACTTGTACTAATGTTTTACAATACAGCTTTGTATTTCCATAGCAAGTGAGAACTGTCGCAAAATACTTTTGTTTGAGCTAAGTTGTAAATAATTTAAGTGATTCATTTAATAAACTTTTATTATAAGTCCAATTATCCGTTTCGGCCTATAATTTAAATTAAAAAAACTCTAGATACTAATTATTTAAATACATTTTAGGTTATTATCAAAGGCCCAGTCGAAGACGTGGAGAAAGCGAAGCAACAATTACTTGCGCACGCGTCGGAACGCGAGCTGACGTCACACACGGCCACCGTACGGGCTAAGTCCGAACATCACAAGTTCCTTATTGGCAAGAGCGGGGCCAATATTAAGAAAATACGCGAACTAACCGGCGCTCGCATCATATTCCCCACTGAAAAGGATGAGGATAAGGAGGCCATTTTCATTATTGGTAAGAAATATTCACCATTCAATCTTGTATTTGAAAATTTGTGTAATATTCCATTCATGTGTAACATAAGAAAGGCTGGCAACGCACTCGCGAGCCCTCTGGCATGGCATGACAGTGTCCATGGGCGGCGGTATCACTTTACATCAGGTGAGCCTCCTACCCGTTTGCCCCCTGTTCTATAAAAAAAACAGAAGAAATAGTGCAGCTATTTATTTTGCCCAAGAGATATTATGTTCAGGTGGAAGTGGGAAATCATTCCGGATATTTCGTTTTCGCTTCGTTTCCGTTCTTGATTAGACTAACCGAAAAATCCTATTTCATAATTCGTCGCTGTGGGTTAAAAGTGGATGTAATGACAATGAAACGAAAGAGATTGCTTAGTTGGTTGCCATGTAAAACGGATGAATGAAAAGCGGTTAGTAAGTAGAATAAAATCGGGATGGGTGGGCCTTGTCGTATAATTATACCTGGACTAAATCCAGGAGGTACTGGAGAAGGGACAGGTCAAAAGTACCCATAACCGACGAGCATCCATGGTGAATGTTATGAAAGTGGATGAAGCGAGAGAGTGGTATGTCTGAACCGTAGCAAGTGGAGATCCGTGGTCTCTGCTTTCGGGAAAAAGGCGTGATAATATAAATAAATAAGAAAATTGTGAAGAAAACAGATACAATTGTGTATCTGTAATCCTTTGTGAGGTTAGACGATGGTAACTGCTAAAATATTATGTTGAAAATATTAGTTTACATATTAAACATTGTAATTATCAAAGCATTATCTTTCGTTTTGTGTTATGGGTTATCATGAATGTTATGTAATATCTGTCAATACTATGTATAAACATAACCCCAATAAATTTAAATGTGACTATAAAATCGAATAACCTTGCAATATTTTGTTAAAATACCAATGCTAAGTGTTTTTAATAGTAATATTAATTAATATGTTTATTGTTTATAGTGCGTAGATAAACCATTTTTACTTTTATATAGTTTTTCTTTACACATTTTTACATAGCATGATGACAAGTTTGAAATATATAAACTTCATTATCAAAACAATAAACTGTATTACTTGATTAATTTATTAAGCCATGGAAATTAGAGCCCTTGTTACCGACATCACATCACTTACATGTAAATTTTAAGCTTAATAGCTAGAAAATGTAATTGATAAATTAAACAACTGATCTTGTCACATAAGAGATTACAAAGTCTTGATATTATGATACGATTTTAAAAGCGTTTCGACCTAATGTTTCATAATGAGATTGAAAATGTTTAAAATTTTCATCTAGGTCGCGAAGATCAAGTGGAGGCTGCCCGAAAACAGCTAGAAACCGCAGTAGCGGAGATCAGCAATGTGTCAGAGGGAGAAATGTCAGTGGACCCTCGTCATCACAGGCACTTTGTGGCAAGGCGTGGTGAGGTCCTCAGGCGTATTGCCGATGAGTGCGGTGGCGTACAAATTTCATTCCCGCGACAGGGCGTGGCAAGTGACCGCGTAGTTCTTAAGGGGCCTAAGGAATGCATCGAAGCTGCTAAAATCCGGATCAACGATATCATCGAAGATTTAGAAGCTAAGGTTTGTATTTTCTAAGGAAATAAATTGAGCCGTCGTGTACAACCAGTACCGGTTCCCATTTTGAAACCGATAATACAACTTGATAATTGACACAATCCAATATCGCCAATCTTGTATTGGTATTTTCATTATTATCATTATTCTTTTCATCTTGGTAATCGCTATTGAGAGTTTATGTGTACGTGCACTGGGTGTTAGAAATCAAAATTAATGTCTGAATGGTCGAAATTAGTGAACGTTATAAATTGGTAGATTTAAGTACATAATATGTATGTACAAATTTGCATTAAAATGTCTAGAATATAATAGAAACTATACTATGTTTTCATTAAACCGTAACAAGTAAATTTATTGGGGGGGGGGGGGGGGGGGAAAAAAAAAAAAAAAAAAAAAAAAAACCCCACCCAACAAACCCCCCCCCCCCCCCCCCCCCCACCAAAAAAACAAAAAAAGGGGGGAAAAAAAGGAAAAAACCCCCCCCCCCCCGCAAAAAAAAACAAAAAAGGGGGGAAAAAAAAAAAAAGGGGGAAGGGGGGGAAAAAAAAAAAACCAAACCCCGCAAAAATTACCGGATCTAGAAGCTCTTGTGAAATATGAGCCTTTAATTATAATAGAATTTTTATTTAATCTGGAAGAAATAGTGTAAGTCATTTTTGTAAATTTAATTCTGTTTTCCAACATATTTCAAACGATTCCGATTTCAGATTAATTATTCACATACTTTTATTAATTTTAGTTCTTGCTTTGATTTGATTCCCTATGAAAATTGAAAATAACAGATTTGTGAAAGAAATGATTTTTGAACCTTCTTCCATTCATTCTTTGTAATATTTTCACAGATAACAATCGAGTGCGTCATTCCACAAAAGCATCACAGAACAGTGATGGGTGCTCGCGGTGCTAAGGTCAAAGACATCACTGCGGAGTTCGATGTTCAGATAAAGTTCCCTGAGAGAGATACGACAGAGGGAGCAGACATTCCAGTGAGAGGTGAAGAGGGATCGGAACCGGGACCAAATGATACTATCAGGATAACCGGAAGGCCCAAGAATTGTGAGGATGCCAAGAAAGCTCTTCTCGACCAGGTATATCTTTGTGGATACTTTGATAGTTTATGTTAAATTTTTTAAATGTTTTAATTTAAATTAAATATTTTTCTTAAGTTCCTAACATATTAAAAAACGTTCAAACCACAAATACCTATTCAATGTTTTGCCTTTTATCACAAAACATTCTGCAACTACTTGATATTTATAGTATGTTTATTATGTTTATTGATTAAACTTTGATTAAACTGTATTTCTAATTGCAGGTTCCTATAACCATTGACGTCGAAGTGCCAAATGACCTGCATAGACTACTTGCTGGTCAAAAACGAAGAGACTTGATGCAGACATATGATGTCCACATCCTCATGCCGCCTAATGATGAGATCACCGATATCGTTAAGGTTATTACTTTTTATTTATATCGACTATAGTCAATTCTAAAAGCTATTCAGCGGGTGATTTTATTGACCTTTATTGTATAAGAATAAGCAATATGCTTTAATTGAAAAAAAAGGGTGCGTGTACTTATGTACGCGCGAAAGAAGTTCTTTGGCATTATTAAAAATAGTTTTTAATTGCATGCAAATAATTAATTACAATTAAATAATCAAAGACTGGAAAAGGAGTTATAGTCAATAAAGTTCAGTTTACATTTGAAAAATTAAATAAATAAATATTTATTAATATTATATTTATTATATTTTCTTCATTATTTTAGGTGACTGGAACACCAACTAATGTTGAAAAAGCCAAACAAGCTCTCACGGAGAAGATAACTGATATGGAGAAAGAA